CAAAAGGCAAAGCTTTGGTTAGAATATCAGCTATCTGATTTTTTGTATTAACGTATACTACATTTATGATGTTGCTTTCTTGCAAGTCTCGAATGAAATTGTATTTTATATCTACATGTTTCAGACGCTTGTGTTCCCAACGATGAAGAAGGTGAATTGTGGACTGGTTATCCTCAAAAACTTTTATAGACTCTTTACAGTTTGCACCCAGATCTCTCAGTAGATTCTTCAACCATAACAGTTCCGTCGCCATCATTGCAAGAGCCACGTACTCGGCTTCCGTGGACAAAGCCATGGTTGACTGCTTCTTTGTGGCCCAACAAACAGTATTGCCATAGACTTTACACAAGTAGCTAGTCATAGATTTCCGGTCGGCGCTTTCTCCCCAGTCAGCATTAGAGTATGCAACTAAAGTGTCACTTCCACCTTTGCAATAGAGTAAGCCAAGTTCGGTAGTGCCTGGAATATAACGGAGAATTCTTTTCAATCCTTTCCAGTGTGCTTCCGTAGCATTGCTTTGGAATCTGCTGAAATGGTTCACTGCAGTGCTCAAATCCGGTCTTGTAGTTAACATGAGATACATAAGACATCCTATTAGTTCACGATATGGCTTAGATTTCTCTGTGGGTTCGCTGTCTTCCTCTTTAGGACGTTTTGTTTCCATTGAAATCTTCGCCGGTTTACATTCCTCCATGCCGAAAAGCTTCAGTAGTTTTTGAGCATACATTTCTTGACTTATGAACAATTTATCACTTGTTCTTTTGTTGATTCCCAGGAAAGTATGTAAATCTCCTAGTTCCTTCATATGAAATCTGCTATTTAACGCTGATTTAATCTTCTGAATTTCATTCTCATCATTTCCTGCAATAATTATGTCGTCGACATAAAGTAGTAAGTAGAGTTTGTAACTGTCATTTTTGTAGCTATACAGACATTTATCTGTTCCTGAGTTTTCAAAGCCTAGGCTCTTCACAAATTGATTAAATGTTTCATTCCAAGTTCTAGGTGCTTGTTTAAGTCCGTACAGTGTTCTTCGAAGCTTACAGACGATATCCTTCTGACAGTTATATCCTGAATCTTCATATATGTATATCTCTTCCTTAAGTATACCATGTAAAAACGCATTTTTGACGTCCATTTGGCATACAAGCAGGTTCTCTTCGAGTATAATTGCCAACAACGTTCTTACGGTTGTTAGTCTTGCCACGGGCGCATAGGTCTCTTCGTAGTCCAGTCCTCTTCTTTGAGAGCATCCCTTAATGACTAAACGGGCTTTACAGCGTTTTCCATTACTCGCTGTTTTTAGTTTGAAGATCCATTTGCTATCTATAGTTCGTTTTCCCGTCGGAAGTGTTACAAGATCCCACGTGTGATTCATTTCCAAAGCGGCGATCTCCTCCTGGATTGCTTGATTCCATTGTTCTTTGTCAGATCTGGATTTAATTTCTTCAAATGTTTCAGGCACGTCATCAAGATAAGCTTCAGCGTTCAATGCTAACACTGCGTAATCCTCTAAATGCTTTGGTCTCGATTTCATCCTTTCGCTGCGTCGTAACGGAACCTTTTGTGGACTTTCCTCTAAGTCAAAATATTCAGTATCACTGGATGAATTATTCAACATTTGATTATCCTGTATTTTTTTATCTATCCGTGAATGACTAAGATCTTCGCTATTTTCTTCATTTTCCGTAGTCTCCGGAATTTCATGGCTTTGATAGAAGGATCCATCCGCCAAATTGTAATCGAATTTAGTCTCGTCGAATGTGATATTTTTTCCAAATAAAATTTTGTTATCCTCTGGACTCCATAGTCGATATCCGTTGGGACAATAATCTATCATGTAACATTCTTTTGTTTTTGATTCAAATTTCCCAGAAGAAAGTTCCTTTGGTATGCGTAAAAATGCAATACATCCGAAGATTCTGAGCTTCTTTATATTTATTTTCTCTTTATACCATGTTGAAGCTGGAATTTCTCCGTTCAAAGCTGAGGTAAAGCTTCTATTTATCACATATACTACTGTTAGTACCGCCTCTGACCAGAAATTTTTCGCGAGTTTTGAACCAAGTAACATGCATCGAGCTCTTTCGATTATCGTTTGGTTCATACATTCGGCCACTCCATTCTGTTGAGGGGTGTATCTAATCGTAAGCTCAAGTTGTATTCCTTTCTCTTCAAAAAAAACTCTTTTTATCTCGTTCGAAAGATATTCGCGCCCATTATCAAATCGAAAGCGACTTATCTTTGAATTGAAATGGGCAGTTGCCATGGCTTCATAAACTTTGAAATAACGAAGGACTTCTGATTTATACTTCAACAGATATGCAGCAGTAAAATGCGTGCAATCATCGACAAAAGTTAAAACATATCTTTTATCATCATGAGAAGTAGGACTCACTGGACCAAATAAATCGCTGTGAATCAATTGTAATGGACGCTTCGCTCGATTCCTAGTTCGATTGTGTGGTTGCTGCGTTTGTTTACCCTCAATGCAAGTTCTACAAAGGTCCATCGTTGACTTGCTAAAGTCTCCTTTCATTCCATCCACTTGATCTTGAAGATGTTTTACACCATCAACGTTCAGATGTCCCATCCGCTTATGCCATAAGTCGAGGGTTTCAGTTAACATACATGCATTTGCATTAGCTTCCTTGTACTTGAAGCTCAATAGGTAAATTTTAGATTTTTGTCTCAACGCAACCGCTACTAATACATTGTTTTTCTCGATTAGTCCCTTTCTATTTTCAAAAATTACACGAAAACCGTTTATTTCCAGCTTTGGAACGGACAGGAGGTTATTTTGTAAACCTGGGACTATTAACACATCTTTTATTATAATAGTATTTTCTTTACCTTTAACAGTACTCACCACTTCAATATCTCCAGCTTGCTTTGCTTGAAGGAAGATTCCAGACTTGGCAATTTTAATATTTACTGGATTTGATAATTTCTTGATGTTTATAAGTGGTACGTTGTTGCCTACAAAATGTTCGGATGCTCCAGAATCTAGGAGCCAATCAACTTTTGAATCAATCCCCTTTTGGGCAAACATCGAAAAACAGAAACTTGCTGACTCCTCGCTTTTAGTTGTATCTTTCTCCGAAGCTACGTTAGCCTGTGTTGCCTTTGTGCAATCGTGCCGATTTGTTTATGCTTTTCTGCGACAATTTACAGCTTTGTGTCCTTTGATGCCGCAATTATTACAAGCAAACGGGAACCGTTGTTGCTGACCTTTAATTTGAGTCTGTTTATCTTTATGTTTACTCTTAGAGTTGTTATCTGTATGCGATGAGAATGCCGTTGACGATTGTACCTCGCTCTTGGACTTCCGTTTCAGATCACTGCGTTTCGATTCTTCGTCCAATAATCGATTTTTTACGAAACTTACAGTTAATTCTCTCATAGAAAGAGTCTCTATTGCGGTGACTACTGTATTGTATTCCGCGGACATTGTTAGCAGTAAGTGACACACAATGTCCGATTCTTCCAATGTAGCTCCTGTTGACCGCAGTTCACGAATTAATTTGTCAAATTTCAACAAGTGATTTGACAACGTATCAATTGCTGCATTGAATTTCATTGTCAAAAGAGCTTTACGAGTAAAAAGCTGTCCTGCGATTCCTTTCCGTTCAAACGTGTTGCACAGAGATTGCCATATGTCATACGCAGTTTCTCTGTCTTTTGCATATTCGAGATGACTGTCTGAGATTCTTTGAATAATTTGCGACATGCACTTCTTATCCTTCTTCTTGTATTGAGCAAGCATGGCTTCTTTCGCGGTTCGTTGTTCGTGTGTATCCTCGGCCTTTATTTCTACCATAATCTTATATAATTTTTCAATAAACGGTATCAAATCAAGTTCCGTTAGGAGAGTTTCAATTCTAAATTTCCAATTGTTAAAATTGGTGCCGTCAAATAGCGGAATTCTATACTTATCTCCTTCCTCTCCCATCTTAATCGGAGGTATCCTTTCACTCACAAACAGTGATTACAACTAACAATATACCTTCCACTCTTTATTTTGCACAGCTGGGCCCATAATCTGTTGATTGTGACGCAGGTAGGAAAGTATATTCGAAAAAGATACTCGAAATTAAGACAAAATCTTAAGAACTTTATTATAACGTAAGCGCGCCAAAAATTACAAGCCGACAGACAGTTAGACAAAGATATGAACAAAAAAAGGGGCTTTTAGAGAAGCCTTCACTGTAAGAAAAAGAAACTTATGTATTAGTGCCATCTAGCTTGTCCAATAAGTAACACTGATTACAGACCTCATAATCGACGTATATAATAAGTTGAAAAAGAGATTAACGACTTAAACAAATTAAAGTAAAAAAATTGCTCTCTTACTTTCAACAGATGTAATAATGGAGAAGGAGTTGATCAGGGCTAGGTAATCATTTAAAATGCCAAATATAAAATACTTAAAAAATGTATTTAAAATGTAAAATGTTTTTCGAATCCACTTTATATGTAAAATGGGTAAATATTATATATATTTTAAATAGTTTTCAAATACAGAATGGTTTTCCCT